TGGATGATGATGACCAAGCATGTGAAGAAGAAAAAGAAGAAAAGGAAAAAGAAAAAGAGGGACAAGATGATAGTGGTTCTGAGGATTCTGAAGATTTTGAGGTTGAGAGATTTTTGGACATCTGTTTTGGCGATCCTAATAAAATGAGAAAGCGAGGATTATATTTCAAGGTACCATTATTATTCTTCAAACTTCCAAGATGATAGTGGAATGAGGATTATTTTGTCTTTGTTCTATCATATTGGTGGTGCATTTTGGTAAAATTATATGCACTAACTAGTAAATGCAAGTAAACTTCTCTCTTGGATTCAGATGTTTTTCAATTTTTATTGTACTTATAGGTGCGTTGGAAGGGTTATGATAAAAGTTATGATACTTGGGAGCCTATTGAGGGCATGAGGTAATCTATTTTACCTACATCCATAAGAACTCTCTTACCTTGTCAAGTAATTTACGTAATGCGTTTTTCTATGTTCAGTAATTGTCAGGAAAAGCTGGAAGAGTTTGTGAGAAACGGGCACAAATCAAACATATTGCCTTTGCCTGTAAGGTTTTCTTCTCTTTTGATTATATGAACTTATTAAATTAGTGTTTCATATGGAAGATAACATTTTGTATTTTGTTTCATTCCTTCTTTCAGGGAAGTGTTTATTTTATATGTGGAGGCCCCCCGTGTCAAGGCATTAGTGGGTTCAATCGTTTTAGAAACTCAAATGCACCATTGGAAGATGAAAAAAATAAACAGTTAATTGTATATATGGATACTATAGAGCATTTGAAACCAAGATATGTACTGATGGAAAATGTTGTGGATATATTAAAGTTTGCTAAGGGCTTTTTGGGACGGTATGCTGTTGGCCGTTTAGTTTCCATGAATTATCAGGCTAGAATGGGGATGATGGCTGCTGGAAATTATGGTGTTCCACAATTTAGAATGAGGGTCTTTCTATGGGCCTCACATCCTTTAGAGGTAAGTATATTTAAACTTGTGTAGTATAATGAAATCATAAGATAATTGTTTAACACTTTACCTTATCCCTTTTCCACTTCAGAAATTGCCTCCATATCCATTGCCAACTCATGAGGTTTTTTCTAGAGGAATTGTTCCAAATGAGTTTGAGGTATGTATGCTACTAAACTTAAATTGTTATGTTTTTTTATTGTTTAAAGAATAAGAAAAATTAATATATTATTTTTTTGAGTCGCTCACAATCTTTTTGAGTCGGGTATCAAGTAGCTCACTTCGGCTCATTAAGAATTCAAGTTGATTGAGTTGTGTCTCATCTCATTTACAGTACTAATCGTTACTTGATACTTTTTTGATTCTAAGTTGAATTTTATTTTGATACTAGGAAATACATGTTGCATATGACAAAAAGGATACTTTTCAGTTGAAAGGTGCTCTCACTCTTGGTGATGCAATTTCTGATCTTCCACAAGTATGTTTGTGTTTGTATTTTTTAATGTGTAATTTAGTAATTTTGGAATATGTTATTTAGTTTCTTAGATTGTTTTAGGTCAACAATGATGAGAGTCAAGACCAGAGGAATTATGGGACAAAAGCTCGAACAGAATTTCAAAAATTTATTAGATTGCCGAGGAAAGGTATGTTTCTGTTTATACGTACTAAATTCAGTAACTTAGTTCTGCCATGCATCCTTAGAAATGCTGTATGATGATCAGTGTTTGCATCATCCTTAAAAATGTAGGGTAAACTACTTATTTAGTCAGCCAACTATTTTTGTGACTCCGTTTTGCTCACCTACCGTTAAAAAACTAACAAAATTGTTGACGTGAAAAAATTCTTTAATGATGACATAGTATTACCTTATGATACATGCCAATATCACCATGGATTTTTAACAGCAATTGGCCAAAATGTAACGCTAGATAAGACTTTGAAAAAAAAATTGTTGAATGACCAAAATGGAATTGTGAGAATAGTTAGATGCTTTATAATATTTTACAACTATGGTTTTTGTATTGTGCAGATGTAACATATTTAACGGTTGATTCTCGACATGCACCATCTTCTGGAATGCTATATGATCATCAACCTTTGCAATTGAATGCTGATGACTTGGAACGTGTTTGCCAGATTCCTAAGAAGAAGGTATGTGCAGTTTAATTGATTATGGCTATTGGATTGACATATTTCTCATTTTCAGTGCCTAATATTTTATTTTTCCAGGGTGCAAATTTCAGGGACTTACCTGGTGTGCTAGTTGGTGAAAACAATAAGGTGGAGTGGGACACAACAATGGACAGAGTGTTGCTCAAATCTGGAAAACCATTGGTATTTTGTTGTCTACAACTCTTATTAAATTGTTTTCGTTCAAGTTTTTTAAGTCAAATTATGCTTACAGGTGCCAGATTATGCCATGAAATTTGTCAAAGGGAGATCAACCAAGTAAGCATGGCTTAACTATTATTGACATTTTGATTTTGCTACAATGTTGTATTTTGCACAACCTTATATGATGACTGGAATTTAGGCCGTTCGGTCGTTTGTGGATGGATGAAATTATCAACACAGTGGTTACAAGGGCTGAACCTCACAATCAGGTTCCTTTCCCCCCCTTCTCTTTTTATGTATTGGATTGCAAGGATTAAGGATGTTTAGGGGAAGGGATGTCACTTCACTCGGATTTGATGGGTTTTGACCTGACCTAATCTAGGGTCTGTTTGTTTAGCTGTAATTGGTTTTCCAGAAAATGAATTACTAGAATTTGAATTACTGGAATTTGAATTACTGGAAAATGAATTACTGGAATTTGAATTCTAAAAAATGAATTACATTTCTGTAAAATGAATTACATTTCTGGAAAATGAATTACATTTCTGGAAAACATCTGGAAAACGTTTTATGATGTTTGGAAGATGTTATTTAAACATTTTTTCGGTATATTTTAGTGAAATAAAATTTTATAAATTATATTAATTATTTATTAAAGTAATAGTACTATATTATATTTTAAAAATATTAATTAGTATATTTTAATATCTTTACTAAAATATTATTGAAATATATAAATATTATTATTCATTATTAAATATAAAAAAAATTATTATATATTATTAAAATAAAAATATAATATCTTATATTATAATATAATTGATTATTTTATATAATATTAAAAATATAATATTATATTATTATAATATTAATAAATATTTTAAATATTTTAATAATTAATATTTTGATGAAAATGATATTAAAATATTTTATTAATATTAAATTCATAAAATAAAATTATTTTGAGTATTTTTGCTTTGAAGTGAAAAGTTCGGAAAATGACTTACGGAAAATGAATCCGTAAGTTATTTTACAGAAAACACAAAGGAAATTCTGTTACTAGGAAAATGAATTACATTCCGGAAAACGAATTACGTGAAACAAACACGGGAAAACGTTTTCCGGAAAACGAATTATGTGAAACAAACATGGGAAAACATTTTCCGGAAAACGAATTACGTGAAACAAACACGGGAATTCAGGGAAAACCAATTCCGTAATTCCAATTACGGGAAACAAACAGACCCCTAGTTAGATTTGACTTGACATAATATTGTAATTATTTTTTTATATATTTAGAGATAATCGTAATAATATTTATTTATATTTTATTATATTGGGTGAGATCCTCTTAAACCTCAGGTTGGGTAAGGTATGAGTAGAGGAGTTTAATTTTCGGATTAAATTTAAATACGTCAAAAACTCAACTTGACCCGAATTATTTAAATATACTGTATTTCTCACTTAAAAACAAACCTTTTTGCAGACGGTCATCCATCCTTCCCAAGATAGGGTGCTTACAATCCGTGAGAATGCAAGATTACAAGGATTCCCGGACTGCTACAAACTTTTTGGGACTATTAAAGAGAGGTTTGTTGAATTTGCACATATAAGTGATATCGGGACTAAACACGTAAAGATGAAGTTTTCAATCTTAGTTAAAGAATCATAGCATAGGTCAATTCCAAAGCACACTTTTCTCTTGGGGTCTACCAGGTACATACAGGTTGGAAATGCTGTTGCTGTTCCGGTTGCAACTGCATTGGGATACGCTTTCGGTTTGGCTTGCCAGAACTTATGTGACGGCGAGCCTCTGATGACTCTTCCTTTCAAGTTCCCTGATTGTCTTGCACGATCTTCACACATACAAGGAGATGATGATGGTTCTGAATGAAGTACAAACTTACAAACCAAGTAACAGTTTTGTTAACATCACAGCATTAGTGTTTCCTTAAATGCAAATGTAGCAGCTTCTCTCAGGGTGTTTTTACCCTCGTCTCGATGACTTGTTTGAGTTAATCATTTAAACTATGATGCCTTGATGGACAAGAATCTTGTTTGTTTTTTCGTTCAACTATTAATTTAAAGCTGGTGCTTGATCCCTTTCCTATTTAATTTCAAATTTCTTTGCTCAGTTCTACCTTGATATATACATGTTGAATTTGTACATGAAGTAAACCATTTTAGAAGTGGCAAGTGATATTTGAGATATGATTTGAGTTCAATATCTTTGTTGTTATGTAAAAATATTTAGATATCACATTTAGCATTTTAACACCAGCCCTTTGTATACAATAGAAGGACCAAAACTATAATTTAACCTAAGAAAATATTCAAAGTTACCCAAATAAGAATTTAAGAAAATTGTAACATAACAGTTAATTGAGTCCTCAAATAGTGTAGGCCTTAGGGACAGCTTTAGCTTTTAAGATAAGTTTTTGGTGATTTCCCTTTTTACTTCTTTATGAGAAAAAACAAAAGCTGCCTCCCTTTTAAGATAATAATATTTGGACAAATTTTAGATTTTTATTAAATTAATATATAACGTCAAGGCAGAAGTCAATCAAAGCCGTCTTAGCTCAGCCGGTAGAGCGCGTGGCTTTTAACCACGTGGTCGTGGGTTCGATTCCCACATACGGCGCTTTTAATTTTCCCCCTAAAAAGACAATTTTGCAATTCCTATTATCCACCCAATATTCTTGGATTTCCTTTTTTTGGTATTTCCGAGAAAAAAAAAAGCTGCCGTCTCAGCTTACGAATTTCGATTTCTTTTCCAAAAATCAATGGATTGCGAATCCGCCATCTCTCCTTACTATCTTCTCTTCCAAGCTCTTGCTTTGATCCCCGTCTCCCATTATTTCCTCGCCGCCTTCTTCGTATTCCTCGTTTTCCTGTACAACTTTCTGGAGATTCATTTCCTTCACGATTTGCTCACTCTTTTCAGAGGCGATCCCGTTACGTTAACTTACAACTCAAGCTCCGACCTCGGCCGATCAGTCGCCGCCAAGTGTAAGATATTCCAACAAAGGTAACACTATTAGTTTTAGGTCTAATTATCAATTATATCCTTCTACTTTACAAAAACTGAGAGAGTAATCCTCAACTTTAGTTTTGACGGCTGATTTTTACTCAATAATTACGTATAAGATTATTGAGCTGAGCTGGTGATTTTCATATTAGCTATTAAAAATAAGGTTTAGTATTACTTGAGTGAACTTTCATAGCGTTTGAGGATTACTTTCGGACGAATTTGAGGATTAGCTTCTCAGTTTTCGTGAAGTGGAGGATGAATTTCATAATTAAACATTTACTTTTATGGCGAGATTTTTATCAGTCGAAATTCGAATTTACATCTACTTGTTTGCGATTTCGTTCAACAATTGTGCAGGTACTTGGTCACTCCATGGCTTTCTAGTCCTCATATTCAGACGGCCTTCTTGACTTTTCACGGAAGGCCTCCTCCAGTTACTTATAGACGGTTAGTTCAATTCTTTTTTATTCCATTTTTTAAATCCATGTTTTGAACATTTTTTTGGAGGAATGGAATGTTAACATGCTAAATGTTTTTATTCTTAGACATTTATTCCGTGCTTTTGATGGTGGGACAATCGCTCTGGACTGGCTAACTTATTCGGATGGTCAGATTTTACTCATCTTCCCGTTATTTTATTTCTTTTGTTTTAAATTAGGAGTAAATTCCCTCTTTAATATGATAGATATGTATTAAGTTTTAATATTACGAATCTATAACTAATAACAGTTCTGGAGGGTGCCTCTGGCGTAATTGATGGTTCCACTGCTCGTAAAGATGGTAAAACTCCTATTGTCATCGTCATTCCTGGCTTGACCAGCGATTCTACTGATGCGGTAGGTTTATATATATATATATATATATATATGTATATGGTATTTTATTTATATTTATATTTTCGTTGAAGTGCCTAAAGAAGAGTCGCTGTGTTTACAGTATGTGATGCATCTTGCGTTCAAAATGGCAAGACAGGGTTGGAATGTTGTTGTAAGCAATCATCGTGGTCTAGGAGGTGTATCTCTAACGGTCAGTTTCTTATGGAACCCTTTTGGCCTAGATTCTGAATCATCTTAGTCTTTTGAGAAATTAGCATTTTCAAATTTCTGAATTCTACCTAAATGATTTTATTTTCAGTCTGATTGCTGTTATAATGCTGGATGGACTGAAGATGTACGGAAAGTCATTGAACACATACGCTGTGAATATCCAGAAGCTCCTCTATATGCTGTCGGGACCAGCATTGGTGCCAATATTCTGGTATATGAATTCTTCTGATTACATTTATATAGTAAGGCATTAGAACTTTCCTTTCATTTTGAAAATTTTCCTTGGACATGACATGATCGTGCTTCTATTTTTTTTCTTACTACTTTTAACTTTCAGATGAATAAAAGAAATGTCAAATCTTACACTGGTTTTAATTGTAAATATATAAACCCATTTTCTGTTTGTTCATAATGCACGATATTTTCTATAAGAGACAATTGTGGTTTAGACCAAGCCTTTTAGGTTCAGTGTAATTGTTGTAATGTCCTTGTCCTGTTTGATAAATGATTCCGTATTGCTAAATTCTTAATATTTTGTTTTTACACGTACAGAGTTGTTTAATTTTTTTATATATTGTTTGCAAGCCTAAATATATGCTTTCTCCTTCCACTTTCAGGTTAAATATCTTGGAGAGGATGGCGCAAATACTCCTGTTGTTGGGGCTGCGGCTATATGCTCTCCTTGGGACCTTTTGGTTAGTGTTTTAATTGCTATCTTACAACCAAGTCTCTGATCTCTATTTCATCTTCATTTTACAGATTTTATATCCTCTTTTGCCCCTACTCTCTGTAAAGTTTTATCACACTAAAATAATGCATCCACTTTTTCCCTAAAATAGAGGAATAGGAAAAGAGAGAGAAAGATGATAAATAATAAGTGAACTTAATTATCCTTATTGAGAATAAAGTTTCCTACATTTTGTTGTGAGGCAATTGCTCTTCAAAACACCACCCGAAAAGTTTAGAAGAATAAACAGGTATAGTTCACTGGCATTTTGTTGATATGGTCCCGGATGACCTAACCTAGGAACCAAGTAATTCCTTGCCTTACAGTAGTTATATTAGTTGAAAACATGCTGTTTCGTTTGCACTTAAATGTCTCGGCATTTCATAATTCAGATATAAGAGGAGAACACCTTCTGCAGTTCTGCTACTGCCACCATTGCCAAGTCTGTCATGGATGGCCAATGGCTGTAGTGGCAGCAGTAGGACCACTTTCTGCTTAAAATCAATCTCTCTTACTCTGTGTCTTCGTATTTCTCACAAACACCTAACCAAAGTGCTGCCACTTCTTCCTGCTTCAGTAAGGTTATGTTCTCAATGTTTTTCTTACAGGTATGTGATAGGTTCATCAACCGTCGAACTATGCAGAAAATTTATGACAGAGCACTAACAGTCGGCCTACAAGGTTATGCCAAATTGTATGTCCACATTACTTCATTTTGCGGAATCAGTTCACTTACTTTAGAGGTTACTTTTACATGATATACTTTGTGGTTTCATGCAGGCATCAGTCTATCTTGTCTAGTCTTGTAAATTGGGAAGGAGTTGAAAAGGTACTAAAGTTTCCTTCTGTATGTGAAAGAAGCATACCAATCACATAGCTGAAGCATTTTAGAGGGATAATACAATAAGTTGGTGTTAATAGATTTAGTAGGTCTTCAAATGGAAATAAACTCTTCCACCAAATCAAATGCCTCATCTCATAGTATTTCATCCTTCTTTAGGCCTAACATTGTTTGAAAGAAATTTTCTGTTCGTCATTTTTCCTACTGCAAAATCTCCTAATTCTTTTCTGCTTCTGTTTTCACAGTCAAGTTCTCTTAGGGACTTTGACAACCATGCTACTCGAATTCTTGGAAAATTTGAGGTAAAAAAACTATTTTTCTTTTTTTACTTTCTGTACTTCCAATCTGATAAAGGCCTCTTTGTGTTTCAAACTGTGGATACGTATTATAGGCGATCAAGCAGTACTAATTATATCGGAAATGTGTCAGTACCTCTCCTCTGTGTCAGCGCCTTGGATGATCCAGTGTGCACCAGTGAAGCTATTCCATGGGATGAATGTAGGTAAGCAATGACCCCCATCATTCTCCGATTTACGTTTTCTTTGAAAATATCCCGTCTCCATTTTCTGGGGCACTTGATTCAAGTGAGAGAAACCACTTGATTCCTTAATAATATTAATGAGCAGTTCCACTATGAGCATGACATATTATAGATCTATATGTCCTCCATGACCTCTCTCAATTTGTACAATTATTAAAGCAGTTGCAAGAAAGTCGGGTTTTAGGACATCAAGGAAAATCTAAACTAATCTAAACTGCCAATACTAAAATGTATCTTACTACGTTGGTGGTAATTTAGGGATGAATATGGGTCAGATCAAGTTGGGTTTTTGGCCCATTTGAACCCGACCCAAAAATTAAACCCGCACCTGATTTGACTCGGGTTTAGAAGGGTCCCACTCAACCAAAAATTTGATTTGATTTTTGAGTTTAAACTTACTCCCGACCTATATAAATATAAATATTCATTTTTATTAGGAAAAATAAAGACTTAATTGAAAACAGATAATATTGAAATGAATATTATTGTAATTATCTTTAAATATGTAAGAAGTGATTATAATATTATGTCGAGTCGGGTCAGATTTTTTTTTTCATCCCAAATTTGAACTCAATCCAAACCCGTCGGATCCGAGTGAAATACCCATCCCTAGGTAGTAGTATACCTTGTTAACGCTCGATAACATTCGATGCTTGAATGGTAAAGTTATACGTGTTACCAATGTTCCATGTCGTCTATTATATTCCATCATAGTCTAATAGGGACAACATTATACTTGACTTCTTTCTTTAAAAGCTAACCATCCATTTGGTTTTACTTCTAGGGTCAATGAAAATATTGTCCTAGCTACTACGCCACATGGAGGACATCTGGCTTACTATGAGGGGATAACAGCATCTGGCATATGGTAATCCCCTTTTTTTCTCCTAATATACCAACAATTGGCATGTTCAATAATATAAACACACACACACAAAAACATCTTTATGTACATCATTTAACAATCACACTCTAAACCAGAAAACTCATATGAAGTTTGTACTATACACTGGAGAGGTTGGGTCTGTTAATGAAAATTAACACGTTGTATTCATGACTGAGCATCTCATGTAGGACCATCTCGGATATTTTTCGGGCCTCTGAGTGAAAATTCAGACTGGATCCTTATAAAACATAAGCATATTTCATTATTTTGAATAATTAGTTTAATATTTCATTAATGAGAATTAAAGGATATTTGATAAATTGAAGAGAGAGATTTGAAAGAGAGAAAATTACTGAAGTCTCGAAAAATATAGTTAGATTTAATTTAAAGTTGAATGAATCAATGAGAGTGTGTGAAGAAGATGATGAGATGAGAAATTGAGAATTTTATGAGACAGAGAGACGATTGGCTAGATGTCGAGACAATGAAATTGTGAAGGTGAAAGGTGGGGTCCTAAGCTGGAACTCATGTTGCTTCCTTATGAGCCGGACCGGCTCTCATATGACATAAATTTGTCATACTAGCAGCTTTTTTCTGATTATGCCACAAATAGTATAAGGTTCAATGTGTCAATTTACATGGTTTATTATTCATGGAATTCTTCAGGTGGGTAAGAGCTGTTAATGAGTTTTTTGGTGTTCTAAGGACTAGCCCTTTAATCAAAAGACAGAAGGTAAACCTTTCAGTAATCTAATTTCGTAGTAAACAATTTCACTTAAATTGAAAAGAAAAAACAAAGGGCATATCGGCATCCATTTGACCTCGGGATCTGATCATTTGACTTTTATGTTGTTGCAGATGCAGGGTTCTCCGGTGCCCAAGCCACTACAAAGTTCAATTGATCAGGCACCTTATTTGAATGTTACGGGAGAAGGAATGGTGACCGCAATGGGCAATCAACCAAGAGAGGTTTTACAAGAAGACACGTCGAACAACGAGCATAAGATTCACAGCAAGGACGAAGGTACAATTTCCGATAACAGAACGAATTTCGAGTCGACAGATAAAATAAACTCCGACGAGCAAATCAAGCAGAGAGTGGAGAAAAACGTTAAGGATTTGATCGTCCCTGTTCAAGCACGAATCGATAAGCTTTCACGGCGGAGCAGACAATCGATCTGGTTGCTTGCATACATTGCCATCGTAACAACTTGGCCGTTCGTCGGCTCCATTATTGTTTCGGTTCTCAAGAAGAGGTTCAAAAGTTTTGTACCAGGTACGCTGTTTAGAAAATAGAGTTACTTCTAGTACCAAATACGATCTTATAGAATGATTGATGCCACAAACTTGAGGGATAATAAAACATACTAACCGCTCTGATCAGCAAGTATCCGTTGTTTATTCTTGTTGTAGCTTCTGGCCTCCTTTGAAACGTAGAATGTGACCTTATAATGTCAAGTTTATCAATTGATTCATAAACAATTTAGCGTTTATATTTATATTCTTTATAATGTTGTTTATTATTCTTTACAATGTTTCCATAAATTTTAAAGGTGTATTATATATAACATATTATTTAAGGGCTAAACTCCAATTATTTAAGATCGTTGGATGTGAAAAAAATCAAAGGCTTAGATTAACGAGAAAATCATTGAAAAAAATGAGTAAATCTCACTTTCAATTTTCCCTTATCAAACGATTCTAAAAGGATGTAAAACTTTTAATTTTACGCTAGTATAAGTAAATTTAATTGAATAAAAATAATTTTTAAAAATATTTATTTCAAATAAAAGATACAATAATCTCTATTTTTTCTTTTTTCTTTTTAACCTATAAAACGAGTCTTTTCAAAAACACGTGCCTTTGCTATTTTTTCCTAAATAATATTCTTTAAGTTATTACACATAAATAATAACAAATCAAATCATTACTCGGAATTGCCCAAACAAAAGCTTGAAATGTCATCCATGGAAGAAAATTTATTAAGTTTCTAGAGCACCATCTTCGAGTAGATTTAAAATCCCACAGTCATATGGTGGTGATGAATAAGTAGCTAAGGCAGTTGACAACTAAAATGCATTCGCAGTATCGATACGGGAAATAATAAGCCCGCATATGCCGAGGAGACCCAACTACGGAGTAAGGATTTAATACTACTAACCTCAAGCACGGGTCATCTTCATTTTCGGCATCGCCTTCTTCATCTGCCGAGCACGTTCTTTCGCTTCTCTCTTGCGAACCGCTTCTGCGCTGAGCTTCGCCTCTGCCTCCTCCAACATCTTCTTCTTCTCTGCCTTCTTTCTCTGCAACGCTTCTTGCCTAGCGTTTTTAAGTTCTTTGTGTGCCTCTTGCGCCGCCTTCACTCTTGCGGTTTCGGTTTTGGATCGAGCCTGCGATTAGGAAAGGAAATCGAGAAGATTAACAAGTTGACTTTTATCGAGCATTTGATAATAATCCAACTTCCAGCTGAAAAACCTGTGAGCTGAGCTTATCCCAACATCTTCTTCTCTCTGCCTTCTTTCTCTGCAACGCTTCTTGCCTAGCGTTTTTAAGTTCTTTGTGTGCCTCTTGCGCCGCCTTCACTCTTGCGGTTTCGGTTTTGGATCGAGCCTGCGATTAGGAAAGGAAATCGAGAAGATTAACAAGTTGACTTTTATCGAGCATTTGATAATAATCCAACTTCCAGCTGAAAAACCTGTGAGCTGAGCTTATATCGTCCGACTAAATCAATGTAGTATGGTACAAGAGCCACCAAGCGAGTGATGTCAGCCATGTTGTTGGCATCGGGGAGGGCAAACTTAAACACGAGCATCTTCCTGTGCATGCCAGGATGCTGATCTGAAAACTGCATCGAAATGAAATTCTTTCCGTATTTCTCATAAGCTTTGTCACCAAAAACCTGCAGGTCAACAATCACAACTGATTTTGAATGTTAAAGAAAATGGTAGAGCTGCCAAGAGAATTTGGAGCAAACCATAACAGAACAATGAAAGATCAGATACCATGGGAAAGAATGAGTAGGAACAACCAATTCATACACGAGAACCAGAAAATGTAGAGGCCAACAAGGTCATAGTCCACACTAAACTTGAAAGCAAAACATATGGATTCTTGAATCCTAGTAAAAAAAATTCGTATCTCCCACTCTTTCATCACCGCCAACCAAAATCTGCTACGACTGATAGTAAAATAGAACTTATACCATGATTTAGTAAGAAAAACTTTGATGAGATAATAGGAAGCAAAAGAAGACCATCACAATATGAAGGGGGAAAAACCTAAGACGATCTGTCACAAGTTTGCAGCCGTTGATTCCTCAATCAAGCCAAGCACCCATACCTTACGAAGTCTTGTTTCAAATTAATCAAATTTAAAGATACACCATTAAATATTTTCAACACTACCACAAAACCAAGTATTGTTTCATTCAGCATCGACTTATTTTTTCGACAGTAATCTCTTAACCGATATGCCTCACTAATCTGGCTAACATACTACCAATACAAAATATCCTACAGCACTAACAAATTGCTTATTACATGAGCACAAAAAGAGCTTAGAGAAGACTAGTTCATGAAACTGTGAGCTAAAAACAATCAAGCCATATGAACCATGCATGTAGATAAAGAAAGTCACGTAATCTAACAAATAAAAAGCTATAATCTACCACTTTGAAGTACTAAAATCTACATTGTCATACGGCAGAAATAAAACATAAGCTCTAGTGATTCAAGTCATATTATTAAATTGCGGCTGCAAGCCTGTAACACGGCGTCACCCGGATCGCGACACTGCAACCGCAATTTTAAAACATAATTATTTTTAGGAAACAAATCACACTAAAAACATCTGCAACGGCGGCACCGCATCTGCCACCGCAATTTAGCAATTTAGTACTATGATTCAAATGAATAAAACATAAGAAATCCGAATCGCAGATAAAATTATCCCAATAAATCAAATGAATACCAGAGCTAGGCCAACCAACCTGCTCAAGCACAGCCTCGGTAATCAAATCTCCGGCAACCTCCTTCGATTCAGAAATCACGGATAGGTCATCCACCACCCATTTCCTTCCACTAGGATTCGTCATCAACCCTGCAAACCTCTGCAAATCTCTCACCTCTTTTTGCATCCCCTTGGCCGCCTTCTTCTTTGCCACAGCGAAAATCACCTGATCCATGGCTTCATCATTCATATAAACTTCAAAAGTAATTTCATCTTTACAGGGAACCACCAAATTAAACAATCTCGATATCAAATCATGCCTGCTCTTTAACTCCATCGTTGCCAGCAATCCCTGGCAGTACCTTCGCCCAGTCGCGTAGAATTTGAACACGGTTTGCCCTTCTTTCAACAACAGAGGCGAGTCCTCCCCTTCTCCAACACCCAAAAGACTGAAATTTTTCTCAAAGATCGAACCTTTCGTGGCGAACTTCGCTGCCCACGCCAAAGCAAGATTCTCGTTTTCACGTTTACCGGTGAAGTAATTGAATGCAAAAACAATCAAGAAAGACCCACAGACAATCTCCAACGTAAACGACTTCTTTGAAACAGTCGCGCCTTGGGATTTCGAGGTCGTTTTCGGATCTGGGTCATCGGGAGTGGCGTTTTCAGTATCCTTCACAGGTTCGGGGGGCGGTTGTTCAGCAGGTAAACCCTCGAATTCGTCCTCATCCCAGTACTCAAAAGATATAGTGGATGGCTTTTGAAGTTCCGATTGGGGCGGAGTATCCGAAGCAGGAACAAAGTCGGGGTCGGGATCGGTTGGGGTTCCAAGATCCGTAAGTGGCTGTGAATTGGACCGAGACACAGGCGGCGATCGGATCGAGTGGTGGTCTAAGATCTCTTCCTCAATGGTTTCATCATCTTCGGCGTCGAATCCTTCAAAGTGGGAATCAGCAAGGACGTGAGAGAAAGAGAAGCTGGTTATCAAAAGGAATAGGAGGAAAAGCAGATTGAAGAGAGAACAGTTCATTTTTGGAGTCTGAGATTTTCTTTCTTTCTTGTTGAGTATATGATTCGTTAATTTAAGAGGGAAAGGAAACAGGGTTTCGTTAGCGGCTATTAGGAGACGGCTGAAGTGATGGAGAGGAAATGAGATAAGAAGACCGACGGATTTAGACCGATCGTTAGCTCTCGGCTCACTCTACACTTCGGCGTTCAAACCATCATGGCTCGTGGAGTGCTATGGATTATATTCCTTCTTTTTTATTTAATAAATTATAAGTTTACTATCTAAATTATTAGTTTTAATTATTTTAATATGTAAACTTTTAATTTTTAAAAAAGTTATATCTAAAAGTTAATTTTTGAATTATTTTAGTATATATTTTTAAAATTTAACGTTAATTTTTAAAAAAATAAATAAATTTTAGGTATTAAAATAGATTAAAATTGATAGTTTAAGTATTAAATTTTTAATGATGAGATACTAAAATAAAATAAAAATTAAACGTTAGATATAATTTAAAAAAAAATAAAAATTCAAATACTAAAACGAACTAAAACCGATAACTTAAACACTAAATATATATTTCACCCTTTGTTCGTTAATGATTTTGAACTAATATCGATGTTATCAGTTTGTTGTATTTTAGACTAAATATGATTTTATTATTTGTGAGTATTGAATGAGTTTGGATGGGCATCTTTATACAAGTTTTGAACTAACAAATGCGTATTCATTTTTAAGTATTTTTATATGATTTTGGTGGTTAGTTATGATAGAATGTTTAAAACGAATAAGATTATTATTTTTTTGATTAATTCAAAATAATTTTCTAAGTGTATCTAACATTCAAATATCATATAATATTGATGCTTGAAATTTAGATTTCTAGAGATAATTACATTTCTTTAATTATAGAAATCACTTTATTCGTATAAAGAATAAAATTATTTCAATGAAAAAGATATTTTAAATGTACAATTTATAATTTAAGATGATTTATAATTATTAAGAATTAAGGGTTTATAATTCGCGTCTATAGATTTATTATAAATTAATTTTTTTTGATAAACTTTTACGATAAGAGAATGATTACACCTTGAAAATTGATCATCCTATACGTGATTGATTTGAATGGTTTGTTTAGTTAGATGGGAGAAGATATGAAAGGAAGTTCGGTTTCAATTGAAATTTTATCTAGACTTATTTAATTGGCTTAATACATTTCAAGTATCCTAGCTATACTCGCAATTGACAATGGGTATCTAAATTTTTTTGGCTTGTTTTTTCCGTTATATTTTTAAGTGTATAAAATTCGATGATCATTGAATTCAACTATTAAATGATACATGTGATGTTGAAATTTCAACAAATTATTCGGTGCATTAATGCACCGAATGTGCAAGTGTGCAAGTGGAATTGTGGAGTCAATAAAGTAGCTATAAATTATTGAAATAATAAAGGTATAACTACCAAATTGAGTCTCTAAACTTTAGAATATTTACAAGATTAATCCTCAAGTATCAACTATAAATACCCTAACTCATTTAGCTTCAAAACCATTCCAAAACATTCTAGCTTTCTTCCAATACTAGAGAATTTAGAGAGTTTCTTGAGAGTTATTTTCTCCTTTTTTATCAAGAGAGAATTATTATTGTTTTCTCTTTGGTAGATCGAGAGAAGTTGTAATTCATATTTTCTCATAGTGAAATTCTTCTACCGTTGCCCGTGATTTTTACCCTATATTATTTAGGGGTTTTCCACATAAATTTTGTGTCTCTTTTATCTGCATTTTTATTTTCTCAAATTATCAGTTGCGATTTTGCTCTATCCGATAACCGTCTTCCGCAACATGTGACCCTTATATTTTTTTAAAAAATTATTAAAATATAAAAATAAAATAATTTCAAGAATCCAAATGTTTCAAAAAATACCAAAATAACCCCTCGAATTTTGAAACCCAAATCATTCAACTCTTTTGTCGGCCATTGTTGTCGTCATCGACCGCATACCCACCTATCGTCAACTCCGCTGCTGTCAAGTCTCTTGTTGTCACCCTTAAACCGATCATTAATAAAAATTCAACTGCAAATCACACACAAACTGATAAAAACAGAGGGTCGTCTTTACCAGACTTTGTGACTGTGTGTTAGAGATGATCACTAGTAGATTCCACAACCAATGAGTGGGATTTGCCTTACATTCCAACTAAATTAAATACACATTTCATTTTGTAATCTTACATTCTGCAACAATACTTTTAGTCATATTATAGATTCTTCTGACAAACTACTGCAATTCTACATTCCAACCAAATTGATTAACGAAATAAAATAATATAAATTACACAATCCTATTTTATAATCTTACATTATGTAGTCTTATTTTTAATCATATTGTTATATGCTATAAACCAAAGACACCCTAATTATAACCGTTCATGCCCTGAAAGGAAACCTAAAAAATGAAGGAAATAAACACGGCCAACAAAATATTTAGGCAAAAGAAAATTCTTTTGAGAACTCAGATGCTGCCAAGGGCGAGTCTTTAAACTCAGTATATGTAGTTGAAGTTTAGCCACCATAACTTACCACTCACACTGAAAACGAAGCTACAAGTCAAAGTTTAGCGAGTTAGCCACATAGTCTTCGAGCTGAATTATGAAAGCTCGAGGCCACATGATCTCGAGCTGAATTATGAAAGCTCGAGGCCACAATCTCGAACTGAATTATGAAGGCTTGAAGCCACATACCTACGGTGCTGAACTACTTTGGAGGTTTGTCTTCTTCTAGCAACAAATGGACCATAGACTTCACCACCTCATTATCTACAATCGTAGCATTCTACCAAGGCAAAAAAAAAAGAAAAAGAACAAGTTAAGCAGAGCACTGGACGCACAAGCTTCGCCGAGGAAAGGCATAAACAAATGAGAAACTTTAAAGGTATGGCAGCAACTTTATGTGGTTAGATAACCGAGAAACATAGTTCAAATTCTATGCAATGCGGAGAAGCAACTATACTACGAATAAACATACAACCATACCTCTGGCTTTCTAATCAGCTCCTGCAAAATTGAATGAAGAGCAGATCTAAGTTCCTTGCACAGTACAGCAGTTTGAGCAGGCGCTGTCAACTTTAGCCATCCATCTATAGCAACCAATCCAGACTAAAAGAAGAAAAGAAATATATGTTAAAAGGCTAAACACCGAAATGGACCGGCAGATAAAAAAGGAGTTTTGAATAAATACCAAGGATTACGGAAAATACCTGATGCTGAATGTTAATTAACCCACCGAACAGCAAAATAGAGAAGGGAGATATGATGGTAGTGTCTCGAAGAAATACTTTGTTGGTTTCAAACTGTTAATGCCAAAATTAGATTGCAGTGCAAAAGCAAATTGAAGATGGAGCTTTCTTCTAACAATTTTTCATTTCCCTTCCCATTTTTAACTAAGGAAAAGTGAATTTCACCATTTTCAGTCTTACAAAATCTTAAACTTTGTAGTGTAAACCGGAAATGCAACATTCTAGACTAGCACAAGCAAAAAATATAATCATTATGTTGACTATTTCAAAATTCAGCTAGGATGGTTTATTCTTATAAACGGATAAAATCAGGGAACAAGAAGATTATGCAACATGATGCCATTAAATTATAAAGAGAAATTTAACATTTTAAACCTGGCTCTTACTAAAAGGAAAAAAAAAATCTGAATCAGATTAAAACAATAAAAAACTATCTAAATCTACATTATGAACAGAGATGCCTATCCACATTCAAGAAACTTCCAACACTATAACAAACAATTCGAGTAAATGAATAAACAGAATTTTCAAGGAAAAAGGAAGTTAATCTTTTACATTAGCCTTTGTTAGGCTAGTTCTATCTCTCAATAGGAAATGTCCATGCAGTGGTTTGTCAACCCTATGTATGTCACGTACGAAATAAGTATTATTCATGAATTGGAGAAAGACACAACCTAAAGAAATAAAACAATTAGAACACAGAAGTGGATTAAATTAAATCCACTAGATAGAAGTCTACATACCTTTTCAAGGAAGACAAGAAATGGATGTTGAAAGGATTTCAAGCTACTGTTAATGGAAGTAGGGTGTATATGAACCTCTCGTCTTCCATCATACCAGACTGGATGACCCTTTGCTGTAGGATTAGGTTTAAGTCTGCTGAGTGCTGCTCCCGTAATGCCCAGCTCCGTAGCAGCAACATTGGGGTATAAACCAGCACATAGTATTGCCTTCAAAGAAAATATTAGAATTATTAGAATCACCCTTGGTTACACACACCTTGTAAATAAAACACACTTAACAGCACATCCTTTGTTATAGAGCATAGTGTAAAAAGGTTTGTGAATTGGGAGGCTGACAGCTTGGCTAAGGCGGGTATAGGGTAATAATTCAGGACATTGAGGATTTACAGAGGTGAGTGCTTGAGTGTGGGGGTGGTGTTTGTAATAGCCGACTGTTATATGTAGTGTATTCTTTTCTGGAATAACATTTGAGGCACTCTTTTCCTCCTTCCAATGTCCGCTGATGTATTTTGATACAACAGTGGTTATGAAGGGGGATTTTAATGAGGTCTCGCTCTTTATAAAAAAATAATTTTTATAGTTACTCACAAAAAACATTTCGTGCGATAGTATACTCTGACCATTTAATTTTTATCAAACCAGGACAAAAAAGTTAAGATACAGAATTTTACAAAAACAAAATACAAAAATTAGTGATATAAGAAGACAGGATAAACAAAATTAGTAATAATAAAAGGAGGGCCCCAGTTTACAAGTGGGTAGTGTATAGAATGACTCTAACACACTTGACGAAGGACATGCTGATTCCATTTGGGGACAGATATGTAAATAACTGAACATCATGAAAAATTAAATAGGTTGTCCACAAAGAATAAAAATCGCTCATAAATTTCTAAACAGATGACGTACATAATCCAAACGAAGTGACTAAAGACCAAAAAGATGACCTCTGCCATAACATTAGAGGTTTGAGCAACTGCAAAAGTAGCACTAAAATGTGAACTAATTCAAAAGCCAGACACAAATGTTCAGGATTACCTTCACAACTGCAGAATGATGTGAATGCATATTGAATGGTTGTGTGTAATCAGAAAACCAACCATCAAGATTCTCCTTCCTTTTTTACCCAATCTGTAAGATATGAGCGAGAGAACATACATTGCATCAAATGCCATATAAGTTGTATCAATTAAATCACAGGTTGCATACCTGAAGATTAGTTGGAAGATTGATGAATCCTATATCTGCTAGTAGTGTTCCAAATTGTATTCTCATGTCTCTGAAAATTTAAGAAAAGTCAAAAGTTAAAGATTAGAAGCGCACAGAAAAAAAATATTTCAGTAGATATTATCATGATTACATAGGCTATTTCATATGCACATATATACCATGGTTTTACTGGCATACTTTAGGTAGCAGTTTGGTAAATATCTAAATCTACACTCCTCAAACACCAAGTGAACCCTGCATATGGGAGGGCTAGAAAGAAGAAGCAAGTCAATCAACTGTCATATTGACACTTGACTTGCTGCCTTTGACTCGGATAGGGTGTGCCATGACAAATATGATGAGAAGCAACTTACTCCTTCCACTTCTAAGTGGGATCTCCAAAGGATGGTGACTACTAAAGAAAATAACTAATAATAAGGCAGCACCATGTCATATTTTCTAACTGCAAATTGGCGAAGATTCCACTACCAGAAGGCAACACATATCATTAATATTGATAACTTAAGAACTTGCAAAGCACTCAAAACTATCAACTGTAATTTAGAGAATTCATTTCATTCCATATTCATAAAATGGAAAAAATAGAATGATACATGATGGACGCAGAAACAAACAGCCAAGTAAGCATCTCAACAATGGTGGTTGAAGAGAGAGAGAATAAAGATGAACCTTGTCATGGACATAACCGAACTTCTTAAAAAGTACTTCTTGCAAAACCGTTGGGCAGCTTTTACTCCTTTCTGCAAGGATACAAATTTTACATACGAGTAAGTAATACTGTTTGAAGTGCCAGGATACATCTATTACATGCACCCGTTTAAACGGATAGAAAGAACTGAAACCCCTCCCAAAATAGAACATGATTCTCTACCCCCCCCCCCCCCAAATTTTGCTGGATAAAGGTTCTAAATATCAGAGAGCAGGTCAATCAGGGTGCTATATAACAAACAAATCAAACTTTTCTAGCATTGTAGACTCTTCGTTTTTGTTGTTTTAAATTAATAAGCAGACAACAGTGGTCACTTTTCCTTAAGAACTAACGACTGCCAAAAGGCATAACACAATCATTGACATACCTCTCGGAAAATCTTTTCCCAC